AGACGAATGAAGGTGCGTGTGTCTGCTTTTTTAATGAGTGGGTGTGTGTTTGTACAAACTTCTCTTATGTTGATGAAACGCATGTTTGAACCTACGTGCAGCCCCTGGATGAGGAGCGGGTCCTGGGACTCTTTGAGGGAGATGCTCTGCTCAGTGAGAGACCTGGACGGCCTGAACTCCTCTCTCCACCACCACAGAGCCATTCCCACCAGCAGCACACTGAGAAACACTGGGATGGACACACACACACACACACACACTGAATCACTCTCTGGAGCCTCTGCAGACTTGACAGAGGGTATCTAAAGACGTCTGCATATCGCCCCCCTCACCTCTTCTGAGAGGAAAAACAAAAAGGTGGCTGTTATGATTGAATAGAGAGAATTTCATCCAACACATAAATAATAATAATCATTATAATACACGATTTGTTTCTCTACATACTGAAAGACAAATCACACGATAAACTAGGTAAGTAATTATACATGTAGCTTGAAACCAAGGAAGTAAAAACAGAAAGACTGTATTTAAGCTCTGTTTGTCAAAGGAGAGATTTGTAATGTAAATAACACTTGCTATAGCAACTGTTGTACTGTTGTATGTGGCAACCCTTGTGTCACGTTGCTTTTCTCTTTTTATAGGGAGATAAAAAGTGTCTTACCGATAAGAGAGAGGATTCCAGCAAATGTAGCGTCGGAAGGCGTGCAGCTGAACTCTAAACTCTCAGTCAGCAGGTCCACAACACAGCCGTGCTCACACACCGTCCCGGGATGCCCGCATTCAGATGGGCCTAAGAACCAGGCGAAGGTATACTCAGTTGAGAGGAATCAACGACTGCAAGATAGCATTACTGGGACTCTAAGGTCAACGGCCAGCAGCACAGACAGAGCGTCCATCTTTCTCAATACACTTGAATCAATCCCTGAGCTTCTTACAGAATCTAAACTAAAAACACCCCGTAGCTAAATCCCCATAAAGTGTGAGACATGAATGTTTAATTTCGTTCACTAATCATACCTTTTGGTTGGAGAACAGGCTGAATGACGACCACACCACCCGGCGAGGTGACGTTTGACAGCAGTACTTGGAGGTTGCCGCCGTTGTGTTTGCTGGCTCGGCAGATGGAGCGCGTCACTTCTTCACTCCAATATACGAAACCCTGAAGCAGAATGGGCCGAGCGAGCAAAAATTGGATCAATTACTTTTATTATCAGTTGAAGGTTGAGCTAAAGTTGCTCTGTGGTCAATGGTTTGTGTTTATATTCAGTGTTTCTCAACAACATGCAATGCGTCTATGCTTGAGGTCCAACAAACATCTTGAATCCATTTCCTTCCTTGAAACCAAACATCAGCTAAAGAGGAAGCCAAGTTTACATCCTTTTTTTCCTGTGTGTTTATGCCTCATGTGTCTGTTCTCTCTGTATGTTGTCAGTATGTACTGAAAACTATTTGTGAAAGGGTTGTTCAAGGACTAAGAGCAACTTAGTAACTGAGAATTCTGCCTGATTTCTTGGTGCCATGAACAAAGAGGCTTGTTTCTAAGAGTTAATTCAATTACATGACAAAGACAGGACTGGGAAGGTATTGCTGTATGAGAAGGCTTATGGAACTCGCATATTAGGCAAACGCGCAGACATTTTCTTCTTGCATTTGTCCTTTTTTATTAACACTCGCACAATTGTTTCGGGCTCTGTCTTCATCACTTGACATCCATGTGTGTAGCAAACCAGTTTTTAATAAAAAAAGAAAAATGTGAGAAGAACATTTGCGAGTGCTTGTCTGATATGAGAATGCTATGAGGTTTAGCTTCCGACCTGCAGCACCTTCAAGAACTTCCAGAGGTTAGATATAAAGGAACCGAGTAGAGCCCATTCCTGCATTTGTCCTGCATACTGTAAAGGTTACAGGATTCCCATCACACTGTATATGCTTCGTTACTTTTCCTCTACAGTATGAAACACTCCTTTCAAGCTAATGGGAGGCTGAAGCCTGGATGACATGGGTACACCAGTCTCCGTTTCATCATTGGGCTGTTAAGCGTTTGTTTTTTACCTCAAACACAGCCAGTCCGACGGGCCGGTCCAGATAACCGTTAGACTCGACCACTGTTTTGCGATGACGGCCCTCTAGATTTACTCTCGAGATGCTTCTCATTCCATGGTCAACCCAGTACAGCAGCTGACGAGGCATATCTGGGAAAAAACAAAATCGCACTGTGAGCGGCAACATTGAGCAACAGTGTACTGTGATGGCAATCAGCCGTCTGACTACATACATACATACATACAGTACACATACCGTACATACGGTGCCTGTTTTAAAAAAAGGGGAAGCTGATGGTGTTTCTCCTTTGTATTTTGTAATCTACATAGATTTCAACACCTTCTGAAGGTTCAACAAACTCACTATTATTTTCTGTGAAATGTGAGAACATACCCAGAGAGATTGCGACAGGCTGGCGTAATAAGGAAATCACCAAAGCCATCCTGTCCCTACCGTCCAAGCCAGCTCTCTCAATCTTTGGGGAGCTGCCACACTGAGCCCAGAAGAGTAGCCTGAGGAAACAGATGCAGCGGATGACAAAATGCTAAGGCTAAAGTGTTTAACAGTCCTGCTGATTTCAGTACACTGAACCTCCTTGATGATGCTGTTAGCAGTAAACATCTGGGTCCTACCCTTGGAGAGGATCCACAGCCACCGCAGAAGGCTTGTCCAATCCAGTGATGAGCAGACGCTGAGCCGAACCGTCGAGCAGGCCAACGTTAACAGAACCGCTCTCCATACTGGTCCAGTAGAGGAGCTGGTGGATCCAGTCCACAGCCAGGCCCGACGCTGAACCTTGAAATTTCAGCATCAACACCGAATCCTCCGTCTTTCCATCCACAGAGACTCTGAAAAACATCAGGGGTGAAAGAAACATGTATATAAAAAACAAAACATGGTTTGCAATCCATCCAAATACTGAGTAAGACAATACATGACTGCAAACTTCAATGGGTTACTTCATCTCTTCCCATTCGGATTAACTTTAGAGCAAAATGCAACTCACTACTACAAACCTTGGTGTTTGTTTTTATTCAGCTTTTGATCCAGACTGAAATACCTTTTTCTATTATCCATTTATTTAAGTTACTGGATGGATTGAGACATTGTTTACAGATATTCATGTCCCCCAGAGGATGAAGCCTAATGAATTGGGTGATCCCTCGACTTTCCATCTATTACCACCATCAGGTCAAAATGTACACGTTTGCTTTCGTTAATGACCAAATAGTAGGAAAAGGACATGGGGGCTTATAATACATAATCAAAACTACAAATGACAAGATGTTTTTAAAATCAATAAAAATACAATCATTTATTTCCTAATCATTTAAATTGTGTTTTTAAGCAAATAACCTCCATAGATGATTATATCAGTGAGAGGATAACATTTAGAATTGTTGGTCGTTTACACTCAAGTTATTTTTTCGGGGTGGTGGTGAAAAAAGTTTCTCTGGAGCCTCGCTGTCAATTAAAGCTCCTACAAAGAAAACCGGAATCTGCAAAAATCGGAATCTGCTGCCACAGCGGTCCATAGTCACATAAGTGGTGGATAATTAATGGATGGATGGATTATTCTCATTTGCATCAAGGATGTGTGCTTTTAACAGGAGTTGCAACTGTCACATACCTCAAGCATTGCTTTGGCTTTGTACGGTAATATAAAGCGGTGTTTCGGTGGCTTCAGCTCCACTCGGTTACCTGTATACGGAGCCTTGTCCTTGCCGAGCCCAGTACAGTGTTCGGTTGGAGGCCAAAGCCGCCACTGGCCCTGGTCCTGATAGATGTGGAGCTGGTTCCCTGTACTCAGAGCCAGTGGTGCTTATCCAACGTATTCCTTTAGAAGAGGTGAAAACCAGCTGAGCCCCATCCCCTGGAAGGACACACAGAAAGAACACACAGTTGTTCTTGTGTCATGCCTGAAGATGTCCTGAGCTGATGCTTGTGTCTTCACACAAGAAATAAACTAAATTCCCTTTTTTTCAAACGAGTATCAAACTAACATCTTTGACGAGTGGCAATGAGGCGAGCGGCTTTAAAAAGTGGAACAAGTAGCTAAACTATATGGAATTAAAGTGGAAAATTAAAGCAGCCCAACCTGTAAGCCAGTGTCAAATAACACTTTAACAGAAGAATATGAAGGAGTGTGGACACTTTGACTTCATATCAAAAGAATGGTCCTCTCCTGATGACTCTGATGCTTGTTCAATAAAGAGGTCTCTAGTTGAATGAATGATGTTGGCTAATATGTTTGTTCAGCCATACTAGCTCACACTGTAAATGAGTCAAAGTGTATTTAGGTGGAACAGGTCCTGATTAACAGTAAACTAGAACAAGCTTGCTACATGCCACAGATCAAATACAATTTCATGTGCAAACATGTATTCTGTTGAGTTCTTATGCAAACATCATGACCTCGAGCATTTATAGTTGTGCTCCCAAGCAGTGGGAAACCAACCCTTCACACCATGTGCTCTGTTCATCGTGTGTTGGAGCCATAATGTGGTTTTTTTTTTTTTTTTTTATATCTTTGAGGGAAACACAAGGTGAATTTAGACATGCAGTTCTGACATTGAACACGGGGTGGCACATTGACATTAAAGTGCATATAGGCAAGTGCCGGGTGATGAGAATCAGGTGTGTGTGGACGGGAAGCTTACAGTTTTTGACCGTGTCAGCCAATGTGTCAGCGTGGCGTGTCAAGGTGTTGCATTATCCTGTCGTGGAGTATCCTGTGGTGTTCTTGGACAATGCTGATTTAACGACATGGTGTCAATGTGCAACTGAATAAATGGATCAACAGATCGAAAGAGACGCAGCGCACTGGACAGTGAATTGTTTGTGGCATAGAACACGCGTCCGAACAAGTTCTCCCGTTCGCCCCCCAGTGGCTTGAACATAAAATTGGATATTGTTAAAGTCAATACATCGTGTTTTAAGGAACATTAGGAGCACATTTGTCGAAAATGGGTTCAACAATGCAAAAATGCTATGTTGTTAAACTAGACGGAGACATCACAACTGATCTCAGACAAGAAGCATAAGATTATTCCAGTTTGAGAGACTCTTTCCCAGCTCAAGCTTCCTGTTGTGCACGCACTGTATTTTCATATCCCATCCCATGAGATCATCCCATGATACAATCAAATATGATTCAGGGATTTTCTTAAATTAGTCTGGGATAGGCAAATTGTTAAAAATAGTCATGTAGTCTGCACATAGTCTTATCTGTTGGTCCTGTGATAACATGGTGACCTGTGCAGGCAGCACTCTGTGTCCTGGTCAGTGTATTCTGAAAAAGATGCATACTGTGTTACAGTTCAGACAGCAGTGCAATAAAATACAGAAAAAGTCATGCTGCCTCGATACTGACTTGTATTTTCCTCCTCCATTCATTCCATCCTACTAACCCAGGCTCTCTGTGGTAAGGGAAACAACTTTTATGTCAGTGGCAGGTTACCAGATGTTCTGATCATTTGTTTCTCACCTTTGGCCTTGCACTCTCTGGTTGTCTGGTTCATCTGGTAGTCCTTGTTGCAGTCACAGGAGAGGCTGCCTTTCGTGTGAACACAGAGCTGATCGCAGACGTCGCTCTCCAGGCACGCATCGACCTCTAGGCGAAAGACCGGACATTTGAAAAAGAGTTTCAAGGATGCAGCATAGGAATGTGTTCAAACTGGTACCAAGCTGCTCCATCAGGCTGCCACTCACCCTCACACTGGCTGTCCCCGACCAGCTTCATGTGGTTGGGGCAGTCACAGTGGAAACCCAGCGGCTGGTCCACACACCGATGAGAGCAGCCGCCATTATTGACCAGACACTCATTCTGATCTGCAAAAAAAACAATCATTACATCACCATCAGTGGATTCATACAAGGACAGCATGAGAAATGTGAAGATTTGTTTTGTTCGTGCTCACGTACAGAACGTTGTTTTGAGTTACATGCATGGCTTCCCAAATGACAAATTGTTCTCAGGTGGGTTGAAAACAATTTATTGTTAAATGAAACAAAAATAAGATCAAAAAAAAAAAAAAAAAAGCAACGGAGACATCTACATGTTGATAAACCGTCTGGGTCTACAACCGCATTTTTGTTTTGGTAAGACACATTTTGAATTATTATTATAGCAACACCTCTTTTTTCTTTTTAAGATTCATGATGCAGAAAATATCTAATATGTTTCTTGCAGAAGGCAAAAGATGGAGTTCATCCAAGTAAGAGGACTTTGGCGTTGACATTTAAACTATTCAAATGTTAGTTTCACGAGTTGTTGTGGAAAATTAAAGCAGCCCAACCTGTAAGCCAGTGTCAAATAACACTTTAACAGAAGAATATGAAGGAGTGTGGACACTTTGAAGTTCATGGTTTGACATCATATCAAAAGAACAGTCCTCTCCTGAGGACTCTGATGCTTGTTCAATAAAGAGGTCTCTAGTTGAATGAATGATGTTGGCTAATATGTTTGTTCAGCCATACTAGCTCACACTGTAAATGAGTCAAAGTGTATTTAGGTGGAACAGGTCTTGATTTACAGTAAACCAGAACAAGCTTGCTACATGCCACAGATCAAATACAATTTCATGTGCAAACATGTATTCTGTTGAGTTCTTATGCAAATATCATGACCTCGAGCATTTATGGTTTCACGAGTTGTTGTGCAGTCCTCTGGGATGGACCTCCTCTTTGCATAATTAACGTAGCGAGTTTCTCTTTTGGCAAACTTTTGACTCACTATGGTGCGATGGAGGATTTGTTAATTCATCCAGCCGTTTTGAGAAATGTCACTTCTCTCTTAAGTGTCTAGTTTCGGGCCAGAGTGCAGAAAGGAACCAAACACACAACCTACCACAGTGTTGTAGCCAAAACCACCTAAACCAGGACCAAGTCATGACCAAGACCACGGTGTGTCGAGACCAAGAAAAGACCAAGACTTGGTGGGGTTGAGACCAAGTCAAGACCAGACCAGTGCAAGTCCCACTGCATGACACACTTCAAATAAACTATGGAACATGCAAACTATAGTCACAACACCCACAGAAACAAAATAAGGGTTATTCTTCATTCCCCTCTTTTATTGCCATATGCTAGTATATTGTGCATGTATAGTATACTACTAGTATACTATGATAAAATACTGACCTACAGCTCAGCAGATTACAACAAAAACACCCTCATCAGATGTTGACTTGCATTTGAGAAAAAACAATTAAGCATAAATAAATAATGCTGATTGCATAACAGAAAAGTCTTTTCATATTTATTAAATGTGGAAAACAAAAAGCTTCCAAACATTTGGTTTTTAACCACAAGCAGATTTACAGCCTGATGACAGTGTCTGCTGTTTGTTTGTTAAATGATTTGTGAGTGGAAAAAATGTAAAGAGTACCACAAGTACGCTTTGTGATCAAGGATGAACAATAAATTAGGCTAACCTCAACCAGGGGGCTGAACAACGGGACATTACACAGTACATTACACTGAACTGCCTCTCAGCACTACATTATTGTAGTACAGATTGTCATACAGTTACTTATTACAGTGACAATCAAACTTGTTCACATAAGGGCTTCAACTAGTGATGATTATATTTTCACTTTATGGATTCATTAGTTGTCTACTGAAGGTCAAAGAAATAAAAATATCTTGCTTTGGACGACCAACAGTTTAAACCTGAAAATAATCAGTTTGTAATGATGTAAAACAGCAAATCACCAAAGATGATCAACGATGATTTCATTATCACAATCACTTTTGCGTTGATCGTCTAATGGACTAATCCTTTCAGCTGTAGTACACATGTGCTCCCCATCACAAAAACACAAATGTATTCCCCATGTGGTGTTTTTCAACCAACGACTCCGGCATCGATCACACAAAAAGTTCTCTTTGACTTAGCAATTGTGAACTCGGTAATATCACTTGACCTGTCGAGAGTTTTCTCTGTTATTACTGAAAACTGTTTTCTCCACCCAACTCCCAACCAAAGACAAGTCCAGAAATATGTACGCATCTCGTTTTTGTGGCACTTCCTAAAAAAACAGATTAGTTAATAACCTCGTGATAGACGTTAACAGCCTGAGGATCTGTGTCGCAAGATGCTGGAAGCCCTTCTTTAAAAGCCAAGGTGCAGTATGGAGCGGTGCCACATTGCCCTCTGCTGGCTGATTAGTAAAATCAAGTACCACATGTGGGCGCTCGACTACAGTATGCGTTTGTTAAAACATCCCTTTCCAAAACCACAAAGGAAAGGCGTTCATAAGACATTGGAACCTGGCAGCAGCGATTTGTTCTCAGCCACAGCAGCATTGAAGTATGTACGTATCAGTATGTCAGCATGCAACAGAAGCGCACCGAGGGCAACAGCATGGATAACTTTGAGGAGGGACCGTCAGAAATTGTGCTCCGTTATCTTCACTTGAACGATTACGAACGTTGGCTCGGACGCTGTCGTTGGGTGATGAAGACCTGGCGTGTGGTCCGTGTTCTAGTTCATCCGAAAGCTGTTGGATTGTGTTGAGATCAGGAGCAGAAAAGTTCCTCCATACCAAACTGGGAAAACCATTTATTTATGGCTTTGTGCACTGTGGCATTGTGACGATGGAACAAGAAAGGGCCTTCACCAATTTGTTTGTATGCAGTACTATTAACATTTCCCTTATTGGGACTAATAGCCCAAACCGTGTAGAAACAGCCTCAGACCCAAAGTACAAAAAACGTATTTGGACAAGATTGTCTACATACTTTTGTATCGTGCACTATGATACTGATTTTCTTTTGTTTTGCGAATTCAAGGATGAGAAGTGAAGCCGTGCCACTCACCACAGTTGTCCTCGTCGCTGCCATCAGAGCAGTCTGGTGAGAGGTCACACCTCCAGCTCTGGCGGATGCACTGCCCATCTCCACACTGAAACTCAGACGGCGTGCATGCACGAGAGGTCTGCGGGCGCGGTCGGGACAAACGGCACAACTGTCGAGCCTCGTCCCGGCCGTCTCTGCAGTCTGTTCGCCCATCGCACAGCTGGTTTCTGGGCAGGCAGATGTCAGACGGCCCGCAGGAGAAGGAGGAGTCCGGGGCGGTGCAGTTCTGGCAGGAAGCCTCGTCGCTCCAGTCGCCACAGTCGTCCACGCCATTACAACGCAAATGTGGAGCTATACACAGTCTGCTGCGGCAGGCAAATTCATCTTTCTTACACGACAAGTGACCTGTGAAGAGAGAGAGAGTCACAAGTTACGTCAATAATAAAGTATTGAGTCAGTGAAATGTTCATTCAGACCACTAGCATTACCAGAAACATCAGGGCATCCCACTTCTAATTTCCGTTGAGTGTTTCAGTTTGTAATACATCTCCAATAGCAGTCTCGGAGCAACTCAAGAGAGCAACCAAATTAAATGTGCGACTCCAGAGAGAACTACGTTGAGGAAAAGATAATAAAATAATATGAAAATAAGTTTGGTGAGGGCGAATGTATATGGGAAGGCTAATGAATCACAATACATGTTTTCATCACAACCAGCCGTCTAATGGGTCCATCGCATGAGTTCATAAGCAATAAGAAAGATCACAACCATCCAGATCTTCAGCTTGGTTTAATGTGAGCAATATTAAGAAAAATGCTCTTTCATGGTATATGAAGTTGTGTGTCTCTCTCTCTCTCTCTCTCTCTCACACACACACACACACACACACACACACACACACACACACACACACACACACACACACACACACACACACACACACACACACACCCCAATAAAAAAGTCACTACGGTTGCTGTAATGTTTGTTATTTATGGCACGCGTCAGAACAAAGTCCAGTTTTGAATATAGGCATTTTATTTCTCACAAAATCAGAGTTCACCACTTTCTCTTCAGTTATCCATTTTCTCCATAAAATTAATAAATCATAACATTTGCATTCGTTAAATCTTCACGGTCAAAAACTGTTTGCTTCTACCTATTAGCAACAACCTGTGTCCAATGACCCCACTGATTATATTACCTGTGGCCAGGATCACACCGGCACTACACCCCCATGTGGTGGGCGGTTGTACAAAAACAAAAACAAAATGGCTCTTACACACCGGCCCCCAATTGGTTCTGGCAGTAGACAAAACAATTATTTATACGCTTTACGTAAGGAGCCATTACATTAGAAACAAAAAATGTACTATTTTAAACAGTCAATTTCATAAAAATGTCCAATCGATAAATTATATTTCCATGTCTTGAAAACATGGTTGTGGGTTTTCACCATTATTCTTACATGCCAGTCGCTTCACAAAGCAGACAAATCTTTGTCACTGGTCTTTCAATTATGCTGGTCTTGGTTTGCAGAAAAACAGAACGCACTAGTCCTTTCCTGTCAGGAAATGTCTGTAGTATCTTTCCAAGTATCCAGGATCCACGAGGCGCTGTTGAATCAACGACGACGATATTTCCAGGTAAAAAAAATATTTTTTCCTCGTTCCATCTTTGCCTTTCTTGCAGTAATCGGCTGCTTCCCTTTCTTACTTAAAGTCAGCAAATTCATCTTCAGCATGAGAATCCAACCTACTGCAACTTTCAGTTTTTTCCAATTGGAAAGGTGAGTAATCAGTTGATGCGTGGGACTTGAATCATATTCAGTGACAATTGCATTTACTGTGAAGTTCCTCTTAACTTCCGGGTCCTCAGCAATGTCCAAATCCAAGACGTGCGCTGGCCACTCATCCTCTGGTTTCCACAGAAACTTTGGACTTTCAATCCATCTCTTTTGAACCAAATGTTCAATTTTCAGTCCCCTGCTGGATTTTGTGCTGTAGGAATGTATCTCCACTGTGAAGTGTGTAATGCCTTTCTAATGGTTGATATTTTGTTTGCAACGAATGTTTGGAACCTTTTGTCTTCATTTTTGATGTATTTTAGTACTGATGTACTGTCAGTCCAGAATCGTGACTTCTCCAAAGGAAGCTGTAGCTCTGATTGTAGCTTTTTGTCCACTTTAACAGCAAGAGCAGCGGCTGTTAGTTCCAAGCGAGGGATAGGCACTTGTTTTAGTGGAGACACCCTGGCTTTGCCAAGCATGAAAGCAACATGTACTTTGTTCTTGTTGTTTTGCAACCTGCCGTATGCAACAGTTCCATACGCACCTTCACTGGCATCAGAGAAGTGATGCACTTGAGCAGATGCTGTGTATCCAAAGTCTTTCGGTTTGAAGCATATGTGGACCATGAAACTTTCCACTCTTTCAAGATTTTCCAACCATTTTTTCCATTTCTGTTGAAAGAATTGGGGTACTGGATCATCCTAACCACATTTCAACCGACACAGGTCCTGCAAAATCATCTTAGCTGGGATTGTAAAGGGGGCTAAGAAACCCAAAAGATCATAGACGGAACTGATCACAGATAACATCCCACGTCTTGTGTGTGGTTGTTCTCGGATGTTAAATTTGAACTTGAAGGTGTCCGTCTCGATGCACCATTGTAGTCCAAGAGCCCGTTCAACTGGCAATTTGTCTCTGTCAAGATCCAACTCCTTGAAGGTCTTGGATCTATGTTCTTCTGGAATTACCAATAACACCTCACGACTGTTGCTGATCCACTCGGTGAGATTGAAACCTCCCAATTTGCAGATAGCTGTGAGGTTCTTGACCATTATAGTAGCATCTTCTTTCGAAGGCAAACTTTTCAAAAGATCATCCACATAACTTCTTGTGACCGTGTCAATTACTTCTGCTGGAAATCTGTTTTGATTATCATCAGTAAGGAAGTTTGGATATTCTTTGTGGTAACATTCACCCTTCAGAAGTCTCATTTTCAGTGAACTGACACGCTGTTTAGCAACAGAAAAGTTGTTTGGCATGTTTACATGGGGTGTCTTGAAAGGCAACTTAATATTGTAGTGGCCATCTTTAAGTTGTACTGAACCTTTCATTATTTCCATGAACTTTCTTCCTTCTATTGACATCTGTCATTAGAGAGAGTTTCACTGAAATCCTGATTGTACTGTCTTATCAACAGTTCTTCCAATTTGTCAACACCAATCCGATTAACAGTAACAGCAGGGTAGCTACTCTTACACTGCTTTGCACTGTTTCCATGAAGAGGTCCATTAATCACCCAGCCCAGTAGAGTTCTTACTGCATATGGTCCCTCTCCTCGGCTGTTGATCACTTCCCACGGTTCCATTAACTTTGAGGCGTTTGTGCCAATCAACAAACCAACATCAGCGTTAATACGGGGAATATGTACGTCTTTCAGGTAAGTCCACTTAGACAATTCTTCTTCAGGAACGATATTGTTTGTCGACACGGGCATTTCCTTCTGAGTGAACATACTAGGAAGCTCCAAAAACTGCTTGTAAGCAAATTCAGAGATTTCCAACCCTTTGACAATACAACTTCGAACAGTAGTACTGTGACCCATTGTACGTAGATTAATCTTCATTTTTCTTCCTTTGATGTTCAGCCTTTCCATTAGACTTTCAGAACAGAAAGTGTCAGTACTTCCTGGATCCAGACATGCATAAGTTTGTACGATTTTGTTTCCCTTTGTACACTTAACATTGACAGGTAAGATTGAAAGGATGCCGTTACTGCCCCCGGCCCCTGTATGACCACAAGTAGAGACAGCTGTGCCACTCACCGACAGTTCCTTTGGCTGATCTTCGCCTTTGCTTCTTTCCTTTTTCTCAATGTGAAGAATGCTGGGATGACTTTGGTTGCAATCTTTGCAAGATATGCGTTTATTGCAATCCTTGCTCATGTGTCCAATGACCCCACTGATTATATTACCTGTGGCCAGGATCACACCGGCACTACGCCCCCATGTGGTGGGAGGTTGTACAAAAACAACAAAATGGCTCTTACAATATATATACTGTATATTTTACAATAGTACATTTTCAAGAGTATCAACGGAAAAAGCAGTCAGAAATGTGTTTTATGAATAATTCAGCAAATCACATTGGAGCAGTGATTTTATAAAAAAGTCAATATTGTCATGATGCAGTTCTGCAGACCGTTTACAATATTACCAAAAATGAACCAAAATCTGAATGAACTTGCATTGCTCTGTGATCGACAACAGATCATTTCCTCTTGCAATCATACATTTGCTCTTTTCTCACTGCATCCCAGTAAAACCACAATCTGCTGCACTTCTGAGTGGGACAAAGTAAATCCTGTTCCCTTCCTACATTTTCCTGGCTGCCATTCAAACCAGCGACTTTCAGGTCTCACGTCTCAAGCAACACTGCTAATATTCATACCTGCTGGCATTCCTCACATCAACAGTGTTTATGTTTGTTCACTTTCTCCTGCAGACTTTTTTCTTTCCTAACGTTACACAGCTTGTGGTTCATGCGCAACACCAAATCCCTCCGGAATTCAATTTCAAAGTCTGTAATTACTTCATCAGGATTATTAGACAGAAATATGCAACGGTATTTTTGCCCACACAGACGAGAGTCGGTTATAATCAGCTCATACTGCATTAGACCATATACTGCATGTTGAATAAGACGTGTAGGTAAAAGGGCTACACAGTAGTTAGAGATGGTGATTGTGTGAACCTTTGTGTTGGTGAAGCCACTGATAGAGCAGATAATCACCTTTGATCAACAGGTCACCAGCCAGTGTGGACATGTCAGTGTGTGTGTGTGTGTGTGTGTGTGTGTTTTAGGAAAAGTGTATAAATTCAAAGTACAGTGAATCCTTATGACGGTGCAAGGTAACCATACTTCTGTTACCTATTGTCATTTGTTTTGATGTCTGTCTTTTTACCTTTACCATTGTCAAAACAATCATCCATCTGTTTATCAGCCTCTCTCTCAAAGGAAGAAGGGAAGTGCTAGTTAGAAAATCCCTTGTGTTAATGCATCAGTTAGATGTTGAGGCGTTTGCATGGAGAAGCAGGATTCTGTATTTATGCCCCATGTATCTTGAACAAACTACCAGAAAACTTTTTTGGTTTGCTCCAACTCTCAGATATTTTAAATCAATGCTTAACACCTTTCTGTGTGCGACTTCTTTTTTATCAAATCACATTTTTAACTATCCATTCATATACATCCATTCTACTGTTCAACGTTATATTTAAGGAAATCTTAGCTCTTGTTTTATTTTACTCTATAAATCTTACAGAGATACCGTGTACGTATTTTTATACTGCCTTGCTCTTCTTGAATGAATCTGCCTTTCCTTGTCTCAAATTACTACACAACTATCAAGAAGTGCCATTTTTGGGGGGGGGGGGGGGGTTTGGTTTATGCTACTTATGTGTGTGTATTGTGTGCGGTTGTGGATTGGAACATGTTGTCAACAATGTTCTCACCACAGCGATGTTCATCTGAGCCGTCCTCACAGTCTGCATAACCGTCACACACACTCGGTCTCGGGATGCACGAGCCATCGATGCACCTGAACACCTGCTGCTGGTGGCAGGCGAAAGGTGAACGAGCTGCAGCACCTGAGACTCCTAAAAACAGACGATTTACTGTTACCGTGCTGAGAGTCAGACAGTCAAAGGCATCACAAAAGGACAATATAACAATTCCATAACAGACAAAAGGATACGTCTTGTATGCTGTATTTTATGAAAAAAAACAAAAACATTATAATGTTGTCAAGACACAAACAAAAAAAATATCATATGCCAAAGAACAAAAAGACGTGATTATCCAATGATCATACATTATGATATAGGTCATGTGGTGACATAAAGCCTGTAAAAAGGTAATTCTGAAGTTATTTAATAAATTATCAAAATAAAGCTTATTTTCGTCACTTGAATTACATCACATTTTCTGAAACTGGATAAATAACCTGCTCAAAATGTGATTCCAATAATCTATCTCAGAGCTTATGCTCCAACTTATCCTCATTGAGTTTACAGAGCTACACTGACACAGCTTCACTTACAAATGTCTGTAATTATTCTTATTTACTTTAGATATGCAAGTATTATGTATATATTATATAGCATACCCATATACACCTGAAAATGCAGATATGTAACAATGCACTGCAAAGGAGTCAGTTAACATCCGCAACAGATATTCAGAATAACCCCCTTCTTTTTTAATCTTTCTCCTTTTATTCGCAAATTTCGCACATATATTTCACAGAAATAAAAGAGAGAGGGTTCAGACAGGCTTCCTGTAACGTATATTTGTTAAGAAACACGGAAAGCACTTGTAATGTTCTCCTAGTTTCCGAGTCGACTGTGTTTGCATGGTAAACGGACCTCATTCAAACTGACAGGTCTGCTCGACTGTGAACTCCCACTCAGTACGTCCCTCCATTTAAAGTACTAATAACACTTAAAAGCAGCTCTTTAATGCCGCACAACCACAAGCAACTTCAGCATCTTACCCCAAATATGACACCAGCTCAAAGGCGTGAGCAGAAGCAGTAAACCTCCAAGGCGCCCCATGCTCGATGTCCTCCACAGTTGTATCGCTCGCTCGCACGCGGCGCGGAATTATGACGCAAGAGTTGTCTGTAGGTTGAATGAGAAGTTGTTACGGTAACGGTCGAGGAAGTTTAAAATATATTAATATCGCCTCTGCCGTTCACTTGTCATTTATTTTATTCATTTATGTTATTTGTTTCGTTGACGTCGAATATTTTGCCTCGTAGTTCACCTTTTTAAAATAACTTGGATAGTGTTTTAATTAGTTAAGAATTACGTTTAATTTCCTAAACGTCTTTTAGTGTTCACTGGAATGCAGCCGAGTGGGCCAGCATGGCCTTGAAAAACGTTTTCTGTTACCAAATATTATAGCATATAAATACACAACGTCTGGATCTAAAACTCCTGTTTCACCTTATAGCGTGTATTGTTAGGTAACTGTAGTCACTTATCAGTGTGTATAAATGTCTGCACCCATCACAGCTGCTTCCAATCGCGTTAGCTGATTAAACTAAAGTCTGAACATGCTCTCACCTGTTGAGAAGATAAATTTAAATAATCTGGGCAGGTGTGTTGATGCTTAAATCTTACCTTGCAGCTGTACTAAAGTCTGTAGTTTGAAGATTATAGTGTCTCAAACTTTACTTTTAGGCATTTGGGACAAACAAAAACACCCATTGGATATTAGCGGGTCGTTAAACTAAAAGTAGGATTGTAAACCCAATGTGTACCGACTGCAACCTCACTGATAAATACTTACTCAGAAATCTATTTTCTAAATATATATATTTAAGTGTTATTTCAGTTACATGGGACATAACCCAGGGTCACACTCACAGACAACCAAAACACTTTAAAATAACAAGCATTCCCTTTAATGGACCCTCTGGCGGGTTCATCATTCAATTCTCAAACCTGATAGTTTTAAATGTCAAAGATACTTAATGTCAAATACAAGGCAATTCAATTATCAGACCGATGCATGAGACCTCCTGATTTTGTATTTCATGTAATGGGTTACATAGTCCTCCCTGCTATTAGACTCACCTCCCACACAGTCTTTATTAAACTATTTTAAATTGCAGCTAATCTATTCACATAGTTGTCACTGATGATTCAAAATCTATTTCATATTTGTTCAGTTCAAAATACAGTATGACCACAATAAGCACTGAAATCTTAAACATTTTATTCACATTTTCTATTGTACAACCAACACACGCAGTGGTCAGGCCTCCACAGCAGGTTCGGATGGAGAGATTAGGTTGTTGACGGAGTTAATCCTGCTGCTCAGAGGTATGGCTGGTCCGTGGAGAGTGGGAGCTCTTCATATACGGGACCCGGGGTCACTGGAAGCTTTGGGACTTCAGCAACTTGACTAGAAGACATCAGAGGGGTCAAAACAATTACAACGGTACTGAAACATTGACTACTAATACAATATTTCACTTAACAGAGGGTGAATGTGTGTAATCCAGTTGTTAAATTGACTTCACACTGAAGCAGCAAGGCACATTAGCGGATATCAGATCAATACATTCAAGCATTGGAGCATCTTTGGCAGGTGTCAGATGGTTTAAAATTGGTTACTCCACATATTCGTAGCTGCATTAACAATTTGACCAAATCTATATGATACAAATCTTACTTACATTACTGCCATAATTATTCTCCATGTCAGAACAATATTCATCTCTTTTTAGTGTGCTATAGTGCAAACTCAACACTTCCTGTGCTGTTTGTTCACGATGAAGCTCCAGCAAAGAGAATTGACCAAGACTTCTAACAGAGAGAGTGAATCACTGTCAGCAAGTTAAAGGTTGGTCTAAATATATATTTGGATATTTTGGGTTTCCTACAGTTGATGATTTCACATACGTCACTGGTTATTTAAATGAGGAGCTGTAGGTGCACATTGCAGCATAGATAAAACAAGTTTTCCTCCATTCTGTGACCATATAATCTTTCTGCTTGTAAACAGAAATAAGGTCACTTTTGTTTGTACGTTTCCCAGCCCTGTTCATCAGGTTCTCTTTACACCTTAATCAAGCTACAGTAAGATGTCCGATATTTTGTAATAATCAGAAAACTTCCTTCTCTGGTGATAATCAAATAATCACTGTACATGAAAACCCACTGACTGAATCATTTACCTGCCAGCTGTGAGAGCTTTCTGAGAAGACATGATGACTGTGGCAGGTACAGACTCTCTGCGTCCATCTCTGCTGTAGTAGTAGTTGCTGGCATACTTGTGGCTCGGGCCCACTGGCAGCTTGGGTGCTGGCTGTGTCCTATAGAAAACACATTTCAATCAAAATGTACAAGTGATAAGATGGATTTTAGTGCAAAGTTTTAGCAGCGCCAGTTCTTTCTCTCTTTGTCAGGCCCTCAATTTATCACTTGCGTTTATTGCATTTGTGGGGGCATGTTATTTCAGGTAGTGGTGAAATTATAGAATATCGAGAGGGGGATGGAGGATGGTCAGTTTAAATAACAGATTCATGATTATGAGGGTTTACTGGATGCCAAAGCACTAACAATAGGTGTAAACTTTAAAGCTTTGCAACATAGTCAGAAACACTTAATTAGATTGCCTGGAACAGTGCAGTCAGGCAGGAGCTGAGAGCTACATTTCAAGGCACATAAATACCTTAACTAGAGCAAAAATGTGATTAATTTCAGTTAAAAAAAAATTCATGGGGGGGCCTCACATTGGTTAGCAGAAAAAAAAGAGGTGTCAAACCATGTGCTGAAAGCACAGTTAAGTATGTTTAAGTGAGAGCTTGACAAGTGTCATTGAACACAACCCCTGATGAGCTGCTGATAGTTCACCTGTGTCGAGGTAGGTGAGCCAGTTTCTGCTCTACAAAAACTACGTCATCATGCCACTAAACATGAATACCACTATTAACTGGGTACAACCCAAGAAACATTAAAACTGTCTCCAGTTTAGTGTGTAACAGCACTGTGGAGAAGCTCAATTAATCCAGCTGTCTTAATGGTTTCACAGGGTGACGTTAACGCGAGTGGAAGTCTTACCTCTTTGCAATCTCCTCATATCTCAGCTGCAGTTTGCCTTGCAAGTTGTGCTAAAAAAACAAACGGTATAAAAACAAACAGGCTAGTTAATAATCTTCTTTAATCACACGTAACGTTAGCTGTCATCCAACCTGGCTAGCTCTTAAAAGCTAACGTTAGCTAGAATTAGCAACTCACTTCAGTTCAGAATTTATTTTTTGTGAGAAATAACCCAATGATAATCTACTATATCGTTCACCATACATATGAAGTTTGTCTGTGGTTGTGTCGCTCACCCCTGATAACAAATTTCGGAGTCTCTGGATGATTTTGGTGGCAGTCGCCATGTTTGCTGTTGTGAAGGACACTGGACTTCTTCTGTGGTGTGAAACAACGGCTCTCGGCACGTTAGCGACACCTGGCGGTTTAAAAGAAGAACTTCAGCATCACAAACCGTGTCCAATAGAATCACAGAAAGCGCAGCAGCTTTATGATTATTATTTGTGAAATGCAACTTGTTTGAAATTAAATTAAATCATATTTATGGGCATGGGGCTATGTCCCATTTTTGTATTTTGTCAACTCGGTCTCAGCATGTCTTCCTTGTACTCCTACAAAATAAAAGCTCTCCCATGTGGTGAACAATGATGAAGTACATAAAACACCAGTGGAGCCAGATTAAGGATGAGAAGTACAAATTTTATTTGTTGCACAAGAAAACACAGTACAGGGCTGCAACGCCGGTATACCATGCAATCAAGTATTACAGATGTGTGCTCGTCTCATGCAGCATGCACTGAACAGAGGAGTCGACACGAGAACACATGCACATATACAACAGTTTGACCTGCCAGTTTGTTCTTTAAGAGCAAGTTTAACACCAGCTGAGAATCTATGCTATCCAGTGGCTGTTCTTGTTTTAAGCTTGCAGCCTACAACTGTCACGTCACTGTTGGGTGTGGTTACAGTAATAAGACGCTTTCAACCAGAAGGGATCCATCAAGCATCGACAACATTTACATTCACATAAGAAACCAGGTTATTTGGAGAAATCCGGGTATACATGCACTGCAAAGTGTTTTCCCTAATCATTTTGGAAGTACGACTGGCGTATTTTATGTGTTATGGTGCATTCTTTAGCTATGGAGCCTTTCCACAGTACATTTTAGAGTACAGGTTATCCCTTACTGAGCAGTTTTAGTTTGTCTGACTTGTAACCTATTATTGTATTTACACAAACATACCTCTAGAGTAACGATTTGTTTTCTGCAGCATTACTTTCCCTGTATGACGTATTTTTCATGCAAATGTGCACATGTGAAAAAAACATTACAAGAGCACACATGGAAAGAAATCCCAGCAGAACTCTAGTTGTCACCCTCGTTTACTCTCCCTTTACGTAACACCAAGGAAAACATGTATTTTCAAAAACTAGTTACTTAAGTGCATGTAAAAACACTTAATGCTTCTCAGCTTGTTGCTAAATTACTCTTTCTGAACATTTTCAAAACAACAAAAACAGCTTTGATTTCTATGAATGTTGTTTTCATTCATGGCATCAAAGACGGTAGCGTCATCATATACAGCCACGGCATATAAAATGTTTGTACAGTACATAGCATGTTTGTTTGTTGTAAACCATTCTGTCAGACTGCAAAAATAATGGAGCCATTCAGCAACATAATCTCTCCGTGCGGTTCACTGACGACGAAAGCATCCTGTAAAAGGTCGTCATGAGATTTAAGGAGAAAGAGGGACTTAAGTAACTCATCAACAAGTCCGATGATTTAGAAGGAGAAAATTGGTACAAAATCCAGCAACAGCCACCGACAAAGAAGACAATAAACCTCAAATTTGGGAAGTACATCCAAAATACCAACAGCTTATTCCCTCAAGTCAGACTTCCAAAACTCCCGGTGCCTGAAATTGTCATTGTGCATATTGTGTCCTTCAACACATCAGAATTACACACATCCGTGTTATCAAAATATACATCAATATTTGTACGATACAAAGACATAAAACATTTGTTCAAAGAAGCCCTGGGTTTGGATTCAATGTAAGGGTTTCCCTCTGCCATTTTCAATTTACCTTTAACATTCACTTACAAAATACATTAGTGCACGTTGCCCCTTGATGTAAACATCACCACACAGTACATTAAGTAGGAACAGGTCTTGTGGGCATGGTGTCTCTTACATGCTCATGTGAAAAAAACAAAGACAAAAACTACCGTTTCAGGAAAAGAATACACAATGATTCAACACTTTTCCAGGTACAAAACGTCTTAATATAGGAAAAAAATAAACCAAACTATAAATACCAAAATGTTTTGAACAAAAAGATATTTCCCTCCAGCCTCTGAAGACGACGTAGACTTCGATTTGGCTGCTCAATGTTTTTCCTGCAAATTGCATGCTTTGAGTAGAACACGTTATTACAGGGAGACATGTAGAGCCATGCTGAATCTGTGATTACAGATGTCAAAATGTGGGCAGGAATATAAAAAAAAAAAAACAACTTAAAAATAACTAAATTTGAGATACCTCTATGATATGGCATCATACTAAGTTAATATCGAGTAGCAACAAAGCAGAGTGTCATGATCTGTAACATCCAGGACTTCATCCTCAACTTCATTTTTCAAGGGATGTTAAGATTGCAGAAAAAAATACATTTAGAAATGTCTTCATGTTGAGTTGAGCGTACGAATTTGAAGTGACACTTCCGCCTTCAAAGACATGGCTTTGAGGACACTGCACTGATATCATGGCACATAATGCCCTTTTTGAGTCAGCTTCAGCTCGTCTCCATAACAGATTGTACCTTCGGTGTGAAATATTACCCCGCACTGACCAGAAAAACTGTGACCATGAATTCACACTGCAAGGAACATGATCAACACGTGAATGAATTATTAGAAACACAGATAACTCAACTATGTTTTTTTTCTCCATCTGTCTCCCATCAGACAATCATAATACAGTGCTGCTTCTTTCCGATGTGATTCTTTCATGAACGATAGTTAGTGTCTTGGTTGCATTGACGGTTTCTTCTAGAGATCTAGTGACAAAGCAAAGCCGCAAAAAAGAAAAGAAAAAGCTTAATGTATATTTTAGACACAACTGCTGACAATAGATAAGAAAATGACTAGAATCAACCATGTTGCTTTCAGTGTGAACCAAAGGTCATGGAGATGAATATAATAGCAGTATTACATCATTGGAAGCTGTACTGTTCAGATCTGAACTGACACTGAAAAAAAAAAAAAACCTTGTACCTTTTGGTCCTGCAACAATTACGCCCAGCTTTTGTCAAACTAATCTGTACTGCAACAATTTATTCAAAAAATAGACATTTATACAAAAAAACTATCCAGTCAAAAGACATAAAACCACATTTTATGGTTAGAAAAATGCTGAGCCGTGGCTATTCGACCAATGAGAACTTCCCTCTTGCCCCGTTACTAACTCATCGTAGTTGACAAATGTAATAAATAAGACCAGAACCTCTGCAATGCATCGAGGCACATATTTACAAGTAAAAAATTCAAGTAAAATCTTCTCCTACTTTTCTCAGCCAGAGTTTGTAAATGAGTTTACAGATTCTGAGAGACTTGAAAGAAAAGATATGAGCCGTTGAAACGAGTGCAGTGGTGAGTTGTCACTTTCTCAGATGCCCTTTTTGTGGCGTTCCCTCTCTGCACTCCGTCTTCTCCGTCGATGGTCCAACCTGAGGACCAGTGGAGGCGGTTTCTGCTGCCTGCTTGCAGCTGTGGTCACCAAGAGGAAGTCCTGCCTGCTGCGGTTGAGAGGAAGTGATGCCTACCTGCAGCTGTGCCGTTTCGTTGGTTTCCTCTCCATCTGAACACGGCTCCCACTCATCCTGCTCACTCTCCGTTGAGCCCTGCACGGCAATCTGGGGCACCAGTGTGATCCTCCTCACCACCGGCACTTCCAGCTCCACCTCCACGCTGGTTTGGGGTCGGGTGACCATCCACTCTGTCCTGTGCTGCTGCTGCTGCTGCTGCTGATTTTGTGTATGGGCTCCTGGAGCTGTGGGCGTCACTGTAACCGTGGTGCTGGTTTTCTCCTCCGGCTCGTCAAAGCTCACCTCCTGCACCGCCTCCTGTTTCTTAAAGGAGTCTCGCCGCTCTGATAGGTTGAGCTTTCGCATCACGACCAGCTGCTCCGATCGTTCAATCCCAGAGTCCCTCAGCCTCTGGCTACCGATGTATCCGCCCAGCCTACCGAGATCGGCCCCGATGTACGAGCCTCCACAGGAACCCTCTGCCTCACAGTCACCCAGCAGGTCCCCCTCACAATAAAACGGCACTTCCAGCGTGTGCCGGCGAGGGGTGTACGACTTCTTATCGGCATGATACACACCAGACAGCTTCTCAGCTGACTGTACCCTCTTAAGAAGAGGAGACCGAGGTGGCTCGGCACTGCGGGGCCGGACAATGTGTCTAACGATGGTAGGTGGGGACAGGGTTTTGCCGTGGTAGCCGTGAAAGGTTTTGGCAAAGCCTGACAGCGGAGAGGGGGAGCGCTGTGGAGAAAGAGGCTGGGTGGAGGATGAGTTGCAGGCCAGGGGCGAGGGGGGGATGTTGCTGGTTGACTTGCGGCGACCCACCTTGGTGTAGCGCTGCGTGCTGAGTTTGGAGCCTAAGCCGTGGAGAGAGCTGGGCCGGATGTGTGCAGCGGGGGAACTGGGAGAGCTGGAGCAAGGAGACGTGCTCTGAGGAGAGTTATTGTCTGGAAAGCAGAGGTAAAACCGTTTTAAACATTGTACTTCACAAGTTGCAGAAACCTCGAGCCGTAAACCAAAAGAACCATTTCATTTTATCATGGATAATTCTGAGGCAACACCGAGCTCACCAAAAACCTGATGGTCGGGTGCGGGACTTCGGCAGGGTGTGGAAGGGCCGGGGGAGAGGCTGTGTGTCGGGGAGCCCGGAAGACTCTCGCTGGAGGAAACGGAGTGGTGGAGGCCTGAGTTGAAGCTGCGACTGCTGTGCATCACTGTGCTCTGCTTGGACAGCTTCTTCAAGATGCTTCGTCGCCTGGAGGTAGAAGAACAGCAGTCACATATGTGCTATTGTGTAGTTCAGTGAGCTC